AATGTAGTAGGAAAGCTTGTATCTCGAGATATATAAGCAACTTATAAACTTATAAAACTTATAAACCTTATAAATGAAATGAGATTACTGAAACCGTACCAATAGCAGTGGGGGCCTCATGGCTTGGGAGAACAGTAAACTTTCAAATACTATTTTCCTATATTCTCTTAATTTTGTTATACAAAAAGGTAAATACTTAATATTAGAATTTCTTCCTGAGTTCAGACGGCTGAGTACAGCTTTTATAGTAATAATTTATATTAACAGTTATAATAATAGTTGAACCACTTCAGCCCAGCATAAGCGTCAGGAGTACCTGGAGGATATCCCATATCAGATGAAGTAATAAAATTTTGCAATATGTGTTAAATACGGTAATTTAAGGAGCAAGTTGTATATGTAAAAATACTCTTAGTCCATAAAAGGGGCTTAATAGATCACAAGATCCTAATGTAAATTTCCTAAGTATAATAATAGTTTTAAAAGTAGTATTATATACTGCATATTAACAGTTCTGCTTAATACACTGAAATTGCTAGCAATAGTACATCTTAAACTTTGAAAGTTTTTATGTACATATATAGCATATATGGTACTTCAACCTGTCAATTTGACGTAGATATCAACTCCACAGTAGTTAAGTGTTATTTTTTTTTAGTAAAATAAAATATATTTAATATCGACTAACGATTTATTTTTATTTTAGATATGTGAAGACTACAATTATTTTCAAGACCTTGACGTAAGTATTTAGATATTAAATTACAAGGATCAATTAGCCCCAGGTTTAAAATTAAAAGTTCCTCCGTGCGAGGTTATACCTTAAATACCAATATATAAAAGTATTTAAGACAACTGAGACCATGAGAAACCATTGTTTAAAAATATTTTTCTTGAAGAATTATTTCTGTATAGAATTCGTGTAAGGCGGATAATAACTGTAGGAGATTTGACAGCAGATCGAGCCTGTCTCTATGCAATTCTATAGTCTAATTTTTCTTTAAGATAGATATTAACCTAGATGCTTTTGATTTCTTGTACGCACCAAATCGTAGATTCTGCATTGGGAGTACAGGGATAATGTATATGTTGACCAGACTTATAGTTTGAATATAATATTAAATAAGAAAATTAATTAATTTTTAAAATTAAATATTACTAAAAGAAATTAGTTTAAAATATGCATACAAAGCTTTATTTATTAAAAAATAATTTATTTAACAAATTAATTATATTATTTGAAGCTTACAGCAATGACGGTCTTAAACTCAATATATTAAGATATTATTAAGGATTAAAATTAGTTCTCCTTAAATACACAAAGCCTAGTGTCAGTCAAATTTTCAAATATAAAATTTTGTGTAATTATCTGTTAAGGAAAACACAACTTTAATTCAAATATTTTATATTAACAAAAAGTAAAAAAGACAATAGAAAAATTAAAAAATTCCTATTAAAAATCTCTTTACTACAATCTGCACTCTGCACAATTGCGCTTGCCTAAATGCATAGCAAAACAAAAACAAAACTTAAACATTCAACTGAAATTCTCTTAAATATCACAACAAACCAAAGCACATGTTCCACAAACAAACAAAAATCAAAACAAAACGTCTTACCAACAAAAGAAAAAAGAAAATATTTTTTTATAAGCACACAAAATTAATTTGAGTGCACACAAAACAAAAACAGTCAAAATCAAAAGTAAAATATTTCCAAATAAAAAATGAACTTCATTAAACAAATTGATAGAGCAAAAAAAAAAGACCGGTTGGTGGTCCAGCGCTCTTCGATACCGGTTTTGTTTATAAGTGAGCACGAATGAGATTAGTGAAAAAATGCCAAACAATTTTTTGCACGTTTGTGGAACGTACGCTCTTATGTTCCAACAAATTTGTTGTTGGCGCCATGAGACAATAAAAAATAACAAAAACCTTTTGGGTGGTTATGAGAATATAAGAGCTGCCAACTGTGTTAAAGTAAGAATGTGTATTTAAAATTTGTGTAATTGTGCTATCGTTTGAGTTTAAAATGTTAAGATTTATATAAGATTGTATGTATTATTGTAATAATCTTAATATTCGTCTTCAAAGACTGGTACACTTTCACAAACGACATCGAAGCTTAAATTAACGACAAACAAAGTCATGTTGAGTTATTTGTGAAGATAAAATGAGAGTTGTCTACTACGATATGCTCCAATCTAATACAATAATTAATTCCGGTCTCTAATGCTCACAACTCGACTGATTAATTGAAATAATCAAAGAAAATCAACTAGAATTGATCAACAGGAATATTATTGTGTTTTATCATAACAATCAAAAGAGGCTCACATTTTTCATAACTCGGAATAAATTGAAGGAACTTGGTTGTGAACGTTTAAAGTTTAGATAATACACCATCTGACTGTTATTTGTCTCGTCACGACAATGTCAAGTTATGCAGTCTTTGATAACTTGGAAAAATTAACAGTAATTGGATAAGAAGTATTAATGCCTTCAACACAAAACCCTGGCCTTCTACCCTCTGAATATCATTTGTTTCAGTTTTAGCAAAACTTACTTTTTAGAAACGAATTAGTCTACCGAAGAGCAATCAATCGTGACAATCGCTTGCTCAAATTTATTGCCAATAAACCACAGAAACTCTACACTGATGAAACTATAAAGCTACGCGAATAATGACAAGAGGACATAAATTATAATGACCAATACATATTTGATTAAAAAGCATGTTTAATAAATAAAATTTTTTGTTAAAAATGTAGCAAAAAACTAAGGTTACCTTAAAATCATCCAATATTCATATGCTTCCAAAAATCCATTGTCTTTATTACAACACACTTTTGCTGCAAATATTTTACTGACAATCCTATGGATGTTGATTCAGCAAATCTACGATAACAAATTTGAACTAATGGTCTATTGTTTTATTACTCCTAAACAACAATTATACTATAATATATACAATCAATTAAAAATTTCGAAAAACTACCAGAATCCTCACTTTTAATACAGCGCACTTTTGTTGCAAACATATTGTGTGAAGGTTATAATTAATGAAGGTTCTTAACAGCTACTTTTATAACAATCTTAATACATGTTTAAGTTTGATTTAATATAACTTGACTGTTTATTATTATATTAGGCTTAACATATCTATCCTCTATCCTTATATCGTTTTACCGACAGTGTAATGAAGTATTATCGTGATATCTTATATTACATCTTATTTTTTGCAACTACTTCAATGCTTGTGATTACCTTACATTAGTATGGTTGGTTGGTTGGTTGCAGTGGCAGGCCATAAGATAACTTCAAATGTACCTCAATTAGTGATTTTTCGCCGTTTTGTTACCACATTCCTCGCAAGAACCCTAGTATAGAAGAGTAGAGACTAAATCCATCCCACTGAATTTAGGTAATTTAATAGGCCTTTCATCTTCACCATTGTTAAACTATCACAAAAGTATTTTCCTAAGAACCTATATCTTCTGGATGCTAGAGCTGGGCATTCACAGAGAAAATGTATTATTGTTTCTTTCTCCTGCGGGTTTCTACAACTTCTGCAGTGAGAGTTATAGGGAATACGCAGTTTCTCTGCGTGAGTTCCTATACACCAATGACCAGTAAGAACTGCAATAAGCCTTGCAGTGTTTATGCGATCTCTTTTGATCAGTTCCAGGGATTTATTTTTATTATAGGTGGGCCACGTTAACCTGGAAGTTGCACATGACTTTAGTGCTTTCCATCTGTTATTGGCGAGTTGCAGAAAATAAAGGAAGGTACTTCTTTTGATGGTCTCCAGGGTAATATAAACTGGTACCGCCAGTGACCAGTTTCTTCAATCTGTGTGATCTATTCACTTTCAGAAATCTAAGGGCCACTTTATTTCTGACATCCACATATAAGTGTTGATATGCATTATTTTCATACATACATTATATTCAAAGTACAATGTAATTGAAATAAAGTTTTTATGATTTATCATTGTTTTTCTATACTATTATTACTTTAGTTAACAGATTAATAAAAAAATTGGTGGTAAGATCCTTTTCTATATTAGATTACACTGACATATAAATAGTCGACAACCCTACCAAATATTAATCATTTAATTTTTGAAATAAAAATTTATAGCATACTTTTAAACAGTAAAGTTTATTAAAAATAATTAACAAAAATGTATAGTATATGCTAAGGGGTAGGCGATATGAATTTTCTCTTAATTTAAAGAAACTATCACCGCAGCTATATAGAATATATAGTGAAAGAACTATTTTGCGATTGACAATCAGTTCTTTACAAATAGTTTAAAATTCAAAGTGATTGTCAATGAATAGTTAACAAACTTTTCAATATTTGAGCTTTCATTCCAAGAAATAGAATCCACATAGATTCACAGTAAAACAAAAATGAGTTTGTTTGCAGGTTAACTGACATCATGGACTGCTGAATATCGTCTCTGTTTGAAAGCGGATAAGATCTCTAGTCTAGTTTTGCGTATGGTCAGTTTAGATGTGAGCCAGAATGAAACTCTCAAAGAGTAGGAGTTTATATCATCGATTAAAGTTATGATGAAATATTAGTTTTCATTCTAAACACAGAGTCTCTTCTATTAAGTTGGAGTCGTTAAGTAACACAAAGGATATAGGCGCAGTGCTCTGCTCTCTGAGAGTTAGCACGCTCTTGTTTTTTTTTATACTATGCTATTCTAGTTTAAAACAGCAAGGGCACACTATTCAAAACTAAAATCCGAGTCCACTGCAAATATGCTTTCCCAAAAAAGCGGGTTGTGCTTTACTGAAGTTAGAGTAAAGAAAAGTAGTAAGACTTAAAGTTGTAGAAAATCGGTTTTTGAACTACGATGTCACTTAAATATTGACTGCCTTTCTACTTTAATATTTTAATAAAAACTATATTATTATCTGGTTTATTAAAAATTTCGTATATTTTTTTAAAAAATTTAGAAATTTTACAATTTTTATTTGTTATTTTAAGATATAATTTTACTTCTTAATTTATCACTGGCATATCAGAAAATATGAACCCACATATAAATATTTATGTACCAAATATAGATTTTTCCGAAATATTTGCGAAAATATGTCAAAATGTATAATAATCTGTAGCATATGCTAAATACTTATAAAAATTAGTATATTACAAAATTGATGAGTATTGTGTCGAGAGCGCTTAAAAAAATTTTTTAAATTATTTTAAAATTATTAACAATAGGAAATTTAAAAAAAAAATTTACAACGAATTTGCCACAATTATAATGACTAGATAATTTCATAAGTTGAACCGACAAGGTCCAAAGAATTTTGTTGATAGGTGGTGGCTATGAGTTGAATGAAAAGCAAACTTTTAAACTGCAGTTATCATCTGACTATCATCCTCATTGACGACGTCAGAGTTATCTGTTTTCTTCTTATTATTGAAGGCCTGCTGCACATCGCTTTCATCGATATCGATCAAATCGGGAAGGCCTTCCAAGTCACCGTTAGTCAACGGTGTAACTGTTTCTGGTGGTGGTGGTGAGTCGCGTTCTTCTTCTTCGTAAATAACATCGCAACTGGTCGGTATTGTTTTGGGTGGTGGTTTCTTAATCTGCTTGCCGACTTTCTTCTTGTAATCATCGTTTTCCATTTGAACTTCGCGTAAACGAACTGTCAACTCGTAAATGTCACGCTCGTTCGATTCGTTTTTCGCGCGTAATTCTTCGATTTCCCGTAAGTCTTCCGGACGTGGATCGCGACGCTCGTAACGCATGCGCATTTCATCGAATCTGTAAGATAAAACAGGAAAGAAATATAAAATATTTTTTTAGCAAACATAAATTTCTAATAAAAATATTTAAAAAAATGTTTGGGAAAATTTTGAATGAAACTGTGTCAGTTTAGTTTTTATTATAACGGCATGCCGCACTACCATTTAAAGCCAATTTTAACTGAGTGGGGAGCTATGAAGCCACAACCTTAGAAGCTGTTTTTGGCCACATCTGTTGTATGTTTAGCACAAACTGATTTAATATTTTTTTTATTTATAATAATAAAAATATTTAGTTTTTTACTTACAAATTCGTCAGGCAACGACACTTGCGATGAAGTTGTTCGATTTCGCTGGCATTGCTCAAATCGCGTTTATCCATCGCCGCCTTATCGTCGTCATAGCTGGCCTTGAGTTCTTTCAGATCGGTCTGATGTTGTGTCTCTACCCCTCTGCATTAAGTTGATTTGGTTGCAGGATTTTAGTAATTATAAAAGTATTTTTTTTAATTTATTAGAAGAGGAGTTAAGGAATAGAAAAAATAAACTTGTTAAAAATTTGGATATGATAAAATTGGGATAATTTATAAAACGGGGCCAAGGTGTAAGATATTAATGAAGGCTTTATGATGCTTTATGAAATTTTTAATATATTTTTTACTTTTTATTTAATTTTTTTTGCTACATTGTATATTATTTCTTATGTATTAAGTAACCATATTTTAGGTATATGATTGCCACTATATTGAACACTAAGCATGCTAAAGATATCAATGGCGACATTGTCATGTAAAGCACATATAATGATGGTATGTATGGGCACGCCCCTTTTGCAAGCACACTTAAGGCAGTGATAAATAACGATGCACAATTATCATACGAAATGCTGTTGAAAAATATATATATTCATAATATATTATTTAACAATTTATACTAATGATGTTATGATAGTTTTTGTTTAAAGGAATATATACAGTGCGCTTAATAAGTAATGGTACATTAATGTGAAACTGACGGTTTATTTAATTAAATACTACTTTTTTTATTATTTTTGTTAGAACGCATTGTGCTTAGTAGAATTTGGATTACAATTATTTACTAAATCAAAATTAAAAAAGAAACTCTACACATTTTATATAGAAACTTTTAATGACAAATAAAAAAAAAACACTTATATGTACGAAGGTTGCACATTTCCATATAAAAATTAATCAACATAATTTATTTATGTCGTATATCGTCGTATATCATACTGCAAAAATATTATTAAATTTATTTGTATTTCGAAAAGACTTCACGCCACTATCTCGCATTGCTGTATCTTGCTGATATACATGTTTTGGACAAAAGTCAGTTAACAGCACCAAAAAAAAAACATGAAATTGAAATTATATAACTGATAGGTAACAGCACTAAAAACCTAGATAATTTTTGTGAAAATATTTCCAGTATTAAAACGCTGCATAATTGCAACAATAATTTCTTAAATTCTACCCAAGTACTTTAAAGAGAAATAGAGAGGGCACTCGTAAGTTATTCAAAGGGATCTAATTATGACTGATTCTAACTAACTGATCTAATTATAAGTACTGTAACGTTTTATAGAATTTTTCTAGAAACTAACAAATGTATAATGTCTCTAAAAAATAGTCTCAAATTAATGAAGATCAAGAATGTAAAACGAGTACTCAGTAAAGGTATATATATTTAAGAATGAAATGACTAAGAAGAAAAGAATTGTAGATAAAAGGAAAAGAATGGATATTTTTACCTCGTAGGTAACTAAATAGTTACTTAAGAGGTTACTTAGTAGGTTATTTAGAAGGTTAACTTTGAAGCACTGAACTTTAAGTCCATCTTAGTGTGGATGCTGCAGATTCCTAACAGATTATAAAATATTAAAAGAAGATAAAAGCTATTATCAATTGTAAATTAATAATTTCGAAGCGTATGTTCCTTTACTAGTGGACTGAAGAAATATTAAAGAAACTATTTTTGGACAGAATTATAATTCGGTTAAATATAATTTATTTATATGTTATTTATTTCGTTGTCCACTCGGGCTGATAAAGATAATCATCATACTCCCTTGGATCGATAAAGATAGTAATAATGACCTTAATGTGGTATATGGTGTTCTTCGCAAAGCAATAAAATGTACGGACAAAAGGAAAGTGCACTCGAAGTACTATATTATAGGTTGTAACTGATTGGGAATTAGGATAAATGGTTGCATTTAAGATAGAATATATTATAACAATGAGAATAGAATAAACTGTGTAAGGAGAAATAAACTGAAGATATAAACTTCAGCAACATTACCACCTAAATAGAATAGAGCTACAGAGCAATTGGGCTTAAGTGTGTATATGTTACTAGACAGATGAAGGAATGCATGGTACCATGTTTATTACTGATTTAGTTTGGGCACAATTCAAGTAAAAATGTGTCCATTTGTATTATGTAATTGTTCAATGTGTTATTAGGAGTGATACGTGCAGAAGAGTTCTTGTCTCATAGAAATATTTTCTTTTCTTTGGGAAAAGAAATAGAGGCGGAGGCTTGATAGAAATCAGATGTCTATAAAAGTAATGTCTCGAAGAGAAAACTAAATCAGCGTGTAGGACTGACAATCTTACTTGGTGACTTAAAAAAATAGTTTTCTAATTATTATTACTGTCGATGTATTCATAGTATAAAGATATAATAGGAGAGATGCGATCTGGTATTGGAACTCCATTGATTAATGCCCAACTTAGAACTCGAGCATACTAGCATACTATCTAGAGGAGGATATTAGTTTTATTAGTTACGAAATTCTAAAATATCGAATCAAATCATCCGATTCAAAGATATCTATTTACTCAAGGAAATAAAAGCTTAGAACGAGACTTCTGAGGTTGAGATTTTTATCTCAGAAAAAGAAGAAAATGCTGGGTAGTTTCTTGACAAAAAGATTACATCTCTAAAGTCATATCGGAATTTGTAAAAAAGTGTTTACCGGGTTTTTTCTATATTTACTTTATATCGCTGGATGGGGATGGGTAAAGAAAAATCATTAAAATTGTTCTCATACAGGTGTTAATATCTTTTTTCTCTTAACCAATTTGAAAAGCAGTTATTAATATTTAGAGAAAGCGAATGTTCATTGATATGACTTTGAAACTAAATCATATGATTTCATAGGACGCATAATATATACTAGGTGCTAGATTTGATTCTATTGTAGAGATAGCTTACCTTAGGCGTTCATCTGCTGCTAATAATTTTTTCTTATGGCGATCAGCCAACTCCAGCAAAGCTTCATCTTTTTCAGCTTTCAATTTTGCCTTTTCTTTAACTAAAATTAATAATTAGAATAAATTTAATAATTTAGAATAAATTTAAATTTAATATTTATTAAAAAATAATTTTATTTCAACTGACTTAGCTCTCCTTGGTGTAAATCGGTTAACTCTTGTTTTGTGTATTGCAACTCCACTGAAAACTCTTCTTGCACTTGCTTCAAGCGCTCAAGAAAATCCTCCTCCATTTCTTGTTTCTTCTCTTCAAATTCTTTGCGCAAGTTTGCTATTAATGTAGGAAAATTTTTAATAAATTTTAAAGTTAATTTAAAAAAGAATATTTGTAAACCTTCTAGTGTCTCGCGTCTTTCCTCCTCACGACACATGGCATTTTGATATTCACGATCAGCGCGATCCAAATGCATACGTGTTTGAAGCAGCGCATTATCCGACCTATCCCTTAATTCCAGATATTCTTCCTTTTTGCGCTCCAGTGTTGCTTCTGTTTCCGCCAACTTTATTAAAATATATAATGTTTTATTATTAATTTATTTAAATATAAAAATTTTTTTTTTGAGGTTATGTAAAATAGTCTCTTCCTGCACTTTCTCTGTGTGTACTAAGTTTTATCATAACAGATATACATTTAATATAACTAATAAGTCATAAATGATAAAAAGTCATAACTTGATGGTGTTTGATATATATGGTGTTCTCTTTTAAAATACTATAGATTCGGAACGTTTTTTTTTATTCTAATTATATGGAAGAAAGTGGTAAGCAAGTAGTGTTCTCTTTTAAAATATTACAGATTCGGAATGTTTTGTTTTGATTCTATTTATATGGAAGAAAGTGGTAAGCATTATAAAATATAAGAAGAGGAAATAATATTTAATAATAAAACTAAAATTTTATATTAAGAGAAGGTTTTTGAGATATTGAGATTTTTAAGATGAATGAGCTCTTTAAGTAGAGTTTTCGGTACTGAAAATATACCATATTATATGATATCTTTAATTTTTTGAATGGACTTGAATGTACTTTTTACATCGGTTCAAAAGTATTGGCCGTGATTATTTGACGTCAAATCGAAATGTTTGAAGGCGTTCAATATTGCCGGTTAGATGAAGCTATATCAATGCATTCACTGATAAAAGGTACGGTTGCCGTAAACGATGAAGAATGTCTGAATGGATTGTGGTAGCACTGGAGTACTGAAGGAGACTGTTGTGAAAAAGATATATGCATTACGTTTCAATATTCAAACATACATATATGTATGCATATATATATACATATATATATACGGAATGGAAAATTTTTCTTCTACACCCCCTATTTATTAAATTTTCAAATTTCATTGACTCTTACCTCGGCTCGAAGTTCTTCTTCTATTGCTGTGTATCGCGTTGTTAGCGCTCGCAATTCTTCAACATGTTCTTCTTGAATTTTATCCAAGGCTTCACGGCGATCGTCTGCATAAACAGATTCGAGTTCATTTTTCAGTCTTGTCATCTCTGTGCTGTTGGCGGGAAAATGATAAGAAATTATTAAATTGCATTTATTCTAAAAAATTAATAAAAGTTTTTAAAAATAAAGTTTATTACACTTACTGTAGTTTCGTCTCCCAGAAAGAGGCAGCTTCATGGCGAATTTCATCAATACGATAATTAAGTTGACGCTCTTTGTCTCGAATGGTACTAAAAAAATTAAAATTTTTATTAAAATTAATTAATATCAATTCTTTCGTGAACAAATGATTTTATTAAGTATTTATTTCAGGTTGATTGGTTAAATTTATTTTTTATTATTATTGTTAAAAAATAAAAATTAAGAAAAACTAAATCACAATTTATTTTTTAATCATTTTTATTTTATCAATATTTCGACTTTAGTCGTCTCCTGATTCAGTTTCCTTAAGAGGTCTTTAGACTAAAGTCGAAATATCGATAAAAAAAAATTTTTTGACCAATTAGCCTGAAAAAAACACTTTTATTAAAATTAATAAATTAATATTAAATTATAACATTAAACTACATAAATAGATAAAGAAATATATATATATATATAGATATATAAATATAGTTATATGAAAAATTGTCTGCGTACTTATCACATTGATATTTAAGTTGAGACCTAGCGTGTATTTCTTCTTTAAGATTCTCTTTTGTTTCGGTTAATTCAGTTGTTAATCTTTCAAGTTGAGTAATGAGAGCCTGTATGGATTGTTCTTGTTCTCCAACAACTCCACGCAAGGAACGTACTTCTGCTTCGAAGGTTTTTAAAGTTTCCAACTGCTCATCTCGTGCAGCTAAATCATTCTCCAACTCTTCTACTTTTTGTAGAGCTTCGCGACGTGCACTTTCGGATTTCTCCAATTTTTCCTTACATGTTCCCTGAGTTTGACGAATTTTCCATTCACAGTCTTCCATTAAAGTTTCTTCTCTATCTATTATTTAAAAGTAATAATTATATATTTTTTTTTGTTAATTTATTTTATTAAAATTCATTGAATTACCTCTGTTTTGTGTTCGCATTATTTCAAATTCAGTTTGCCATCGATCTTCACATATTCTTCTTTCATTTCTAGAGATTTTCAAAGCATTGTTTAATGCCGATATTTGTTCTTCAAGTTCGGCACGTATTTTGATCACTTCTTGACGCCATTCTTCTGCATCACTTTGTGCTGCAGCGAATTGTGTTTGTAGGTTACTAGCCAAAGTCTTGGTCTGTTTGAATTTCTCCATAAGTTCCGTATGTTTTTCTTCAAGCTCTCCTGTAGTTATACATATTAATTATTTTAGTTTAGAAATATGAATATATACAAATATATCTATATATATATTCTAAACATAGAAGTAGATGAGAAGGTCAGGAAGCATATATATAAAAAAACGGCATATCAAAAGGTCAAGGATTTCTTTTAATCCATTTTTTGTAGAGTTCTAGCTCTTTGGGTATAGCATATAATATATTACAATTACTTTTGCTTTAATTTTTTGGACATAAAAAATGTTATCTGAAGGATGGGTATGACTATTACTCAGTATTGACTTTAAAGCAATAGTGGAATGTTAACTTTAATGTAGTTTTTGATTGTTTTTCAAATCATTTTCTGTTGAAAGGAAAATATAGGTATAGCTATATTGCAATACACCATTAACTAAGTAACAATTGAAATAATGGAATAAGCTCTCTCTGATAAATGGCATTTGCTACGGATTTGAACTCCAACTATTACTAACTTCTTATCCCTTTTAAGCGATACAGTCAAAATCTATTTTATTTTCTTTAAAATTTTTTAACTCGAGCAAATAAATAAATGGTTTGAATGTTTGAACGTGAGAAGAAATAGTTTCCTTGATTTTGTAATCTGACTCTAGGATTTTTTATTTAATTTTTTGGCCTAACACTTTCATTCACTAAATTTGTTTCATTGACATATTAGTAATCAATAGAAATGATATTTAAATCTCACTTACTAATGCGATACTGATATTGATCTTCACGTTCATCGAATTTTTGCCGTAGTCCCACTTTTTCATCTTCCAAAAGTTTAAGTTTCTTACGTACGAACTCATCGTCCTTGTGCGCTGCACTCAATTCACCTTGTAGTCCTGAGCATTGCATTATATATTTTAACAAAAAACAAATAATATATTAAATAAATAATCTGATTAATCATTAAATGTTATCAGACTTACGTTCAACGTTCCAGGTTTTCGCCGAAAGTTCAGAGTCTAAATTTCCTACTCTATTCTGTAACTCGGAAATTTTGGTTTGTAAATTATTTACATTCAGCTGTGTTACTTCGAGTTTCTCGTGAAGTTGACTATTTTCAATTCTAAAATAATGTAAATAAAAAATTTAAATATATATATTATGCATAAGTTTAGATAAGGATATATAAAAACTTACAATAATTATATAAATATAGATAAAAAATTTTAAATCAATTTAATCCATGCAATTTTCTAAGCAACTGCCCAGCACGGCAAGATGTAGATTTGACAACCTTGGAAGCAGGATCTTAGTCCCAAATCAAATAGATAAAATTAAGCCCACAGCAATTACAAGATTTATGAATAGTCTAGAATTGTCTTAGTTGGACCTTTAGGCGCACAATAGATCTTTTAGATCGGGGTGCATTCATAGCCTATTATTTAATAATATAATATTGGCTAGCATAGAAATGAGAACTAACCGATTATTAAAATATAATACGTGATCCATTTAGTATGCTGGATAAGGCGCTTCATTGTCTTATCTGAGTACTACCAATCAATGGTAGTGCATTGATAATTTTTGAATAATTTTCAATAGCAGTTCCAATGAATCAGAAACTATTACAAATGTCTGGCTATATTTGAATCGAGTATACTATATTAAGATCCTTAGCCCGATTCAAATATTGCAAGATATTTGTAATAGTTTCTGATACATTGGAAGTAGTATAGAAAGTTATTTTAAAATTATCAGTGCACAATCAATGGTAGTACTCAGTTAAGATAATGACAATCGGACAATCGTATTTTAACAATCGGTTAGTTCTCATTTCTATACTATATTAAGATCCTATGAAAGCTAGAAAATTGGTTTTAGGGTTGCATATATATAACCCTATTAACAACTGCTATTATTGCATATCAGAAATTAATCAAAATTCGTTTATATATGTTTCCAATATAATTTTAGCACTTATGATAATAAAGAATATTAAAAACTATATTCTATTCACACTGACGATTTATGTAAAATGATACTTTTTTGAAATTTGGCTGCAAATATTTTCTGTTGGCCTTCAAAATATTGTGTCATATTACAGTGAAGTACCAAAAACAATAACAAAATAAAATTATTTTTGCAAAAATTTCAATTACTTCAAAAATATTTCGATCAGTTATTTTTTGTCATGTATTGTGACAAAAATATAAATAATTTTGTTAAATTTTTAAAGCTGCCATAGATTTTCAAATAAAAGTCAACGCATAAAAGATATTAAATGAATCATTTTTCAGTTTCCGCCGAAAGAGAAAAGATGCTCGGAAGATTTATCTAAAAATATTTTTCATTATTTTACGACCGATCCAAATGCGTTGTCTGTCTGTGATGGTCTATTACTGAACGGGAAGATGGGTATGTCTGAATGGAAATTGCAGGTTTAAAAACTCATTTTTAAAAATAATTACAACCAGAAATATTTTTTATTTTTGTTATTATAATAATTTTTTTTTATTGTTATTAACTTTTTATCATTATTATTAACTTTTTTGTTATAATGAATTTTTTTTTAATATTTATTTTTAATAATCAAATTAATCTTTGCTTTCACATTTCTGGCAAATTGTGTATAAGAGATCTTGGCTACCAAACAAAACAAAGCAAATTTTCTGCGTTTTGCGGCTTTTATTTTTATATATTTTATATATAGTATATACAATATATTATTATAATATATTTGTGAAGTATATAAATATCGGCAATGTATAGAATAATAAATGATACTTTTAAAACACACATAATTCAATTTAATTTTAAAGATATTTCGCATAGGAATCTACTTTTGTTTATAATATAAACATTTCTCTATTTTGTTGTTGCTTTTTTATTTAATGTGCTAAACCAAGGAAATATGTGTTAGAGTAAATATATATATATATATATATAGATAAGTATTAAACATTTGGCTAAAAAATAGATTTATTTAAATAGATGAAGTGTGCAGATTTTATACACAAAAAGCCAAAGAATTTAATTAATTCGAAACAAAGAAAAAAATAAGAAACAGATTTCTCTTCGAGATACTTATAATATATATACATTAGCATACATATATATATGTATGTCTGTTTAGTGATAAGTAATGTGATTTCCTTTGTTTATACAATTTTAAATAAACTAATTGATTTTGTATAAATCAATTGAATATTGTAGAACTCGGAGACGCAATTTCTTGCTTTTCGTAGTAGCGAAATAAAAACTATCGAACTTACAGGCAAGTTCAGTGCACTGAGATTCTTAGCAAAACATTATTATAAACTCATTCAAGTAATGAAATAATATATATTAATGTAGTCATATATATAAATATATATCTTATAATGATTATTATAAACTTTATTTTAATATTCTTATATATTATACGTCATACATCTGTTGTGTCGCTCATAACACAAAAGAGAAGAAAGATGAATATATATTTTTTTCTAAATCAAATCTTTTGAGTTAGTTAAATTCTATTATTTTTATTTAAATTATTTATTATGATTTATATTATTCAAGCTAAACAAAATGTTTACATCCCACTTTTCTACAATATTATTATTTTTAGTCTATTAATAATATGTAGTTATATGTAAATATGTGCTAAGTCACATTTATTTATGAGTGCAATGAATTTAAGTGCGCCAACTAACATATAATACTAATACTATATACTAGTATTCATAATACTATGAATTTTATTTTAAAATAATTTAAATTAATCATAAATAAATGTTTTTAAGCATATACAATATATAATCATTTTAACATGATATATAATATTGCCAATGCTCCCGACCCACAAAACACTAAACACACGGATTGAGAATCATCCAAGAATGCGGTAGCTTGCTGGCGTGGCAGCTAATATGCAGAAGATGAAGGTTCAAGGAAGGCTGGAGGGTACTGTCAAGATACTAAACTAAGACATCGCTATAAACAACAAAAACCTGTAAGGGTATAAGATGATGATGATACTATATTAAAAAAATATCTTTCAAAACACGAAATTCCATAGAATTATGTTAGCAACTTTAATATACCTAATTTGTTGGATATGAATTATGTGTAGGACCATAAGATGATGTTGATACAATATTATCTAAATATATTAGATAATATAAAACGTATAAACATTTATAGAGATATAGATATATATAGTTTAAAGCCATAACACGATATTAATACAATATTGGCAATATCGGAGCATCGTTGTAGTAATAACATGATTCCTATATCATGTGTTTGTACGGCTGTAGGAAGTGAGAAGGGTGGGACCCTGTAGTACCCCCAGCTATCAAAGAGTAAAAGTGCCTAGTTGCGCTGACTCGAAAAAAGGATCAACATACATACATACAAAGTTCTTGAAATTTATTCTCCAAAAAGGACAAGTTGATTTGAGAAGTGCTATGAAACGTGTTAATATCTGAAGTTGGTTGGTTCAGGTATTTAATAATCTTAGCCATTGGTTTGCTTTAAAATCAGTTTAGATAGCTTCTGCCTTCTTTTGAGAATTCCCAATGCTAAAACTTCTTTTCAACTACATAATATAATTGGAGATCTTAAAATTGGAGATGTTTCAAAACGAGTAAATTCAGAACCGGTTCAAAACCCTCTATTTAATGAAATCAAATTTTTCAGCTTTACGTTAAAATTAGATCTTGATAGAAAAACTTTATCCTTCTGTCTTTATGCGTTAAAGACATATATATATATTTATATATATAAACCTTTATTAAAAATAAAGGTAAGTGTACAAGGCGAAAGGCAATCCACTCAATAACGGTTCCTTTTTTTAGATATTGTTTTTTTCTTATAAAGAACAATACCTTTCCCATTGATTGAAAGCTTTCACTTCTGCAGTTATATCTAGAGTTTTGAATATTACTATAGGTTTCACTTGTTTTAAACAAGAACCAACAATTTTAATCATATATATTTTTAGTGCTATTATAGTACGACTTGTAAAAACAACTAGTTAATCAATGAGTTTAGATTATATTTGAAAAGTGTTGAAGAGGGTCCATCATTTTACTGCAAGCTGAGTGGCTGACTAAAGATCTTTGCTATTTATATAATATATATATTGAAAATTGATTTTTTATTAGTTGTGAGTAAATCCTAAAATTAATTTTGAAATCAACTAAAGAATAAGGAACTGGACTAATAGGTCTTTCACCTTTGAAAATTAATAATATTATGATATATAACTAAATAATAATAAACATGTTAAAAATTAATTATGTTAGGATATATAAATAAAACTATTTTAATGAAATACTAAAACATTTATATCTAAGTATTTTCATGTTGTCTCAATAGGCATGCAAAATAAATAATACCGGGTTGTGTGGTGAGTTTCGACGTCATTTAAAGTAAAATCCAAAGAAAAAATATATTTGTTAAAGATGAGTACTTTAATTTGGAACAAATTATACATATTTTGCTGAAAAAATGGAATAGTACAAATAATCAGAACTTATTGCAATTGTCCCTATGATATATAATAAAAATTTTAGAGTCATATTGTGAAAACTCTATTACTATTGTCAATGCATACATATATACGGATGCAAACTGTAGATTCTGCGAAAAGAATGAGGAGTCAGTCACATATGTGCTGTTAGAATGTTCTTCGGTAATGTACAAACGAAATAGACTCCTGGGAATGTACACTATTAGTGAAGAGGCAATAAAACTCTGTAAAGTAGGTTCTATACCACATTTGATTGATACACCAGAAGCAAGTCTCTAAACCCAAAAAAGAGCACAATAGACCCGATTGTCGCAGTACCACATATCATAACAATAATAATAATAATTGTCAATGTGAAATACAATAAAATTTTCGGAAAAATAAAATAACAACTGGAAGTAGTAAGGTCTACTGCTATTATTAACTTGGAATGAAATATTAATGTCTGAAATAAAACAGTATATGGTATAGTTAAAAGCAACTACTGTCATTTATATGAAAACCAATGCATATTTAAAGAAAAATATCTGTACAAAATTAATATAAGCTACTACTTTTATTGTAAAATTTAACTATTTATAATTAAACACTTGCACAAAATCTTACAGAGTTGGTTACTAAATCGAATCTTCAATGCATATCTCTAACTTAAAACAGACCAGAGAGTTGCTATTTCATTTTTATTGAAATAAATAACGTATAAAGTCTGAAATTATGAGATATTTTATTGATAATATTAATTTGAACAGTTTCTATGACAACAGAATAGATCTATAGGCGGTCTGTCACAAACTCAAGTGTGCTGGAATTAAACGATTCTTTATCAACAGCGTAAAACCTTACTGATTGGGTGGTCAAATTACATTTATAGGGCAAATACTATTTTCAAAACAGACCAAAATTTTGATGTAAAGGAAATTAAGAAATGCAAATTGAATTAGTTTGCGAACATCAAAGATAATCAAGTAAATATCAAATTTAAAAACACTTTGCTTAGACCGATTGGTGACACCACAAGAATGGCGATTGAGTGGAACCCGATGGGTAGCAGAAGAAGGGGTAGACCTGCTCACACCTGAAGAACACAAACCGACACGGAAATGTCACACATGCGGAAAGGCTGGGGAGAGTTGAAGCTATTGGCCACCAATCGTACCGAGTGGAAGTTATTTGTTGCGAACCTATGCTCCTCTTAGGAGTTAAAGGATTAAAAATATATTCTTGTTTAACAATGATTTTCTTTTAAGGAGATTCAGTGCAGTTGCAGAAGAAAATTGTCGAACATGAAGATGTGACTTGTGTCTCTCTCGGAATTTAGGTGTATATTGGCAAATAACTTCTTCAACAGTTGATACATTTAGATCTTAGTGCAGATTTTTGTTTCTGACATGCCACGGAGCGCACTTAGTTTGTTGAAGAATTTAATTTAAATTTGTACTCTTTGAATATTTTTCTAAATTTGTGTTACACGCTGAACATAGGTCCAAATTACAATATAAAAAAATTTAAATAAACCATAGAATTTTTTTATTATTGCTTCATAGTATTTAAATGGAGTGTTAGAAAAAAAACTTTCATTATTTCACAGGTAATTCAGATGTGTAACCATTCGTACTACTTCAAGTGTTAGTTATTCTTGAACTTAAAAAATTCTCAATAGACCCAATAAATGATGTAGCACAGCGAATAATCAAATGATTTTAAAGGCATCTGTTGGATTTTAAAATAGTTCAATAATATAAATACTGTATAAATAAAGTATATATATTTATGTGTTTATAAAACATTTATAAATATATATAAACAAAGTACATAAATGTGCAATTTACGTAAGTAATCAAATCTAATTTGAGTTCAATTTTCTTCTACGAGTAAAAAGCAGGTCAGAATTCAATCAATTTTCCTCTAGTATTTCTTCACAAAATTAGGAAACTCAGCCCCTCAAGACGATTTATCATATATAAATATGACGTTGTTCTCGTATTTATAGTTTCTATTCGAGTCTTCCCAACGAAATGAAATTGTAACATTTAAATATTCGCATTTATGAAATCCGGAAAAGTAGCACAAATTGTTTTCGTTTTTGTATCTTCAGAGATTTGCAAAATGCAAATTCAAATGCGAACATTTTTTTTGGCGTTGATAAATTTATTCGCTACAAAATTTTTATATTTCATTCGTAACACACGATTTAAAAACAAGCGTGGGAATTCAAATTATATATACAATTTACTATATATTCATATATATATATATATACATATATATATATACATATGCATGATTATATTAGTTAGATTCAATAAACGATTATTAGACTTAGTACATTTATTTAGCGAAAATATTTAATAAATTGACTGTAGATAAATAGTTGCATATTTTCATCTCTAGAATTTGGAGGAAAATTTGTTGTAGTTCACTTTGTACAATTAATAAAATTTTTAGTTATTTATAAATAAACATTTAATATTATATTTAATAAATAAATATTTCTTTGAAATTTAATGTGAGTAGTGAATGGTTATAAAATTCAAATAACAATTCAGAGAATTGAGATAAAAACTGAAATTCATGTGAATTCATTCTATTTCAAATTAAACTAATATTTCATCTATTCTATCTATTATCAATAGCAACAATACAAATATTTGTTTCTATTTAAGGTTTTTTTTTGAGCACAAGTCAAATCATCATAACTCTGAAGCGATCATGTATTAAAATTATAGTGAAAATAATTGTTTACCCCATTAATTAATTAATTTTGATGAAATTTCAATGTATGTCCATTAGAGATCATAGAAATTGAAAGATATCTTGATTTTGATAACTTGAGGTAATCCTGAGATATAGCTTGGGTATTTAAATACCCGACAGTCATTGGTGTGATAATTTTTATATCAATTTTATATATTTGGCATCTCCTCTGCATAGAAGACACACTAATAAGGGTGAAACTTCCTTCCTGTTTTTTCTCCATTCCTAATATTTGGCAGCACTTTTCTCAAGCATTTTTCGACAAAAAAAATGTAAAGTAAATAGGTTAAAATTATGCTGTACTATTTTTATGTGGTAGATTCATTCTTCTCCTTTAATGTTAAAAAAAATATGTCGTGAGATCTTTCGCATAGTTCCCAATAGAATGGTCTACATGTCTATACTTTATTTGGTATCTAAATATCCAATACGCTAAACTGTGTTAATATAGTAAAATTATTAGACCATAATATTTAAAATACAAAATTCTTAATCAGTTATTAATCCATCTTAGACTAGAAAACTAGTTACAGTAAATAGAATTGAAGTTGACAGCATGATCACTCTTGTTACCAATACGTGTAGGCATGAATGCATAAAGATGTGGATTTTTATGTGATGATCTTTGCCATTATAAAGCCAAGACTTAGGTACTGTAGGTACCGGAACATGAAGGGGCCGATAGCGATGAAATAGGAGACACCCTAGCAAAAAAAAATACATGTACTTCTTTGATTTGTCTAGAGCCCTACTGCGTGGTAATAAATAGATTCGCAAATAACTTCATATGTGAACGGGAGAAACGAAATCTACTTGAACAGGTATGCGGCAGTCAAGAAAGTTCATTGATTCTTAACACATCAAAGTTAACCTATCCTTAGTCCTAGCAGAAATGATATTAAACTCAACACTGAATTTCTTACAGGACCTGCACCACATGAAAAATATAGGTGCGGTAGAAAGTGATTCCAGTCGATTTTATCGTGAGGAGAAGGAAACATCAGAACATATTCTATACAACTGGCCAGCGGTAGCAAGACGTATACTTGACTACCTTGAAAGCGGGATCTTAGTCCCTAATAAAATAGGTTAAATTAAACCTACAGCAATTACGAGATTTGTAAGTAGTCTAGATTTGTTTTATTTGGGCTTTTAAACACAAAATAGTTTTTTACGTCAGAGTGCATTTATGACTAATATTTAATCATAATAATAAAGCCAAGGCGAAATGAAAGAAATGCTTTGTAACTTACTATACAAATATACCTAGCTTTAATAAATTATTGATACGATTGTTGAAAAATCGTTTTTCAAGAATACCGAAGAACGACCATAAACCGATTTTGGAAATATCATAAGTTCCAAAAAATAAAAATTTAGATCAATTTATGTTGGTAGGTCATATGGCACAAATATATATTGCACGAAATTTTTTTAAAAGCACGGAATTCTAAGAATGGTTTTACAGACGGTCTATCACAGACTCATCCTTAAAATTAACCTAGCGCTACATTCAACTTTTATTGAAGGATGTAAGGTCTGAGCGCTGAAATTAGGGTAAATGTAAGAAATATATTTAATTAGGTTTGTTAATAAATCACACCAAACCTTGGTTAGTCTAAGATGTACTACTTTTCACTATCTTTAAATCGAGTTCAGAAGTCGGAAACAAACAAATAACTTAATATATGAACGCGAGAAGCAGCCCAAACAGCCATGCGGCAATCAAGAAGGTTCAAACTTCCATAACTCGAACTAAATAGATAAAAACAGGATTTAGAGAGCAAATTAGGTCTCCATAAGTCGAACTTTTAGAAAGTCGAAAAATAGAACGGTGATACATAAGATTAGCTCAGACTCACTCTTATATCTAACCTAATCTAAAGTGTGCTTCGTCTTACAGATTGTTTAAAATGTATATAAATTTTAAATATATATAATATAGTTTATAATATATGGACTGATATATACTTTACAAATAATATATACAGTAGACAAAATAAAAACAAAAACAAATGCGCAAATGAATATCGTGTAGGTTAAGTGCAAAATTCAATTTATATTTAAATCGACAAAAGAAAATTAATTTTTATTAAATAATTGGAAAATGAAAAAATTTTCACACAAAGAAAAATATCGCAACCATTGAAATTGATTGTGATCGTAAGACATGGGGATCTACTTTCCATATTAATTTTAAAATTGACATTTAAGTCATCGATCACATTCAACTGATGTACGCAGATATGTGAATGCAGCAATTATGTAGCGGTTCTTGAAGATTTGTAATAGTAGTAGAAAAAAATATACTAATCTCCAAAAGCTGAAGACAGAGATATTAACCGTTTATAACCATTTCTTATTAACTGGATAAACTGATGGTTGAAGAAATTTTTTTATTTCGCTTTGGACCTTATAAATTATATGAATAAATAGAACCGTTGAAGTCAAATATGTGAGACTTTTACTTGAACCAATGGATAATATGAGTTTTGTGCACGAATATATAATATAATCTAACTTGGCCCATTGGAACTAAAATGAGACTATAACTAAAAAAAAAATAATGAGCACAAAAACTATTTAAAACAAGTTTAAATAATTTAATGGTTAAATAAGTTTAATGGATTTAAATTTTCTTATAACTAATTCTCAATCTTCTAAACCTTATGTGAGAATAAATTCTATTTATAGATTATTGATATATAGTAATATTACATAATTACAATAAACAAAAAATAAAAGATTTTAACTTACTTGTACTTTTCCGCTAATAAGTCCTTGCCAAAATTGCCAAATTTATTTGATTTAGCATAATTTGTATCACCACCCTCTTCAATAATTTCAATAGTCGGTTCTTCACCCATTCTAATACCACCGCTTCCAATGCAACTGTCATCGACACTGCGACGTTTTATAGGTTCAGAGCTACCCTCAACATGTATGGGTACAAAGTGCACTTTACCAATACTATTGCCAGTAGCGCCATTTATGTTGACAATTTGTTCTTCAGTTGTACTTGAGCCAGACGAACTAGCGCCATTTGCCTGCAATAAACTCGAAGCAGTCGACTCGACAACATCAGGCAAGCTAATGCTTTCAATGCACACTAAACGCTCAGCAACATTAGTAACACCACCATCGTCCACATTATCTAAATAATCATATTCCTCGTTCGGCATTAAGAGTTCATCACAATCCGTTGAATTACCATCGCGAACAAAAGGTAAATGATGACCACTTGTATTACTAGTTGCGGCGCGCTGTGCAAAAGCTTCTCTATCGCTGCTACCCGCTTTGGCCTGAGCACCATCGACAAACCCAGAGTCAGGACAGCCAGTACTCAAATTCGAATCACTGGCATTTTCACTCTTCACAAGATTATGTTGCTCAGGCACATCATAATGTTGGCGTGAGATTTCACTGCCAAGGTCTTCGGCATCTTCGTATTCTTCCGGTACTTCGGCTAATTTTATATTGATGTGACGCGCAGAAGTGTGCAGTGGATAGGGACTATTTTGATTTTGATTTGTTACAATGGATGCAGTTTCACTTAAAATACTCTCAAGCACCTCTTCAATCGGTGTTATCTTAACACTATCGTAACTAGTATCCGTGCCATTATATATAACCGGTTGTGCAATGCAATCACCAACCTCTCCATTACTATCTCCACTACAATCAACCACAGTTATGGTTGGCAGTACTATTTTTGGCTTATCAGTCACGTCAGAATTATCTTCTTTCGGGATAACCGATTCACGAAATTCGCGTGCTGCACTATTTCGCGTAATTGTCGGCGCTGTTTCATTTATTTTGGCATTTGCCTGCCCCATTGAAGCGTACGTACGCAAATTGTCGCCCGGCGTACTGTCTTGCGGTTCAATATTTCGCGTTTCTCTTGCTACACTACTTTGCCACAAATTATCACGTTCACATGCCGCAAGTTTGACTTCGGCCGTTTGATTTATACCGTTTACACCGTTTTGTGTTAAATGCGCGCATTTATCAAATTCACTATAATCACACCCGATTGAGGCTTTTTCACTAGTTGCCACTTCTGCAAATCCACAATCGCGCTGTTGTTCACGTTCACCGCTCCGATCGCATTCGTGCTCGATACCGACCCTTTCAGTATTGTTTTCTGCCGTCGAGACTGTGTCTGTTGTGAAGGCGCTTGAGTTAATATTTGGCACTTGAGTGGTAAACGAATTATGCCTTTCTTCCAAAAACTTGGCGCTCTGCGCTCTTCCAGTGTACAACTCATCATCGGTTTTGCACTCATCCGCTGAAGACGAGCGAGCACGTTTACTCTGCATTCCGACAATATCCGCTGAATGAGCACGCTGTGTACGTTCTCCGTTGACTACATCTGAGCGAAAGGTATCTGCGCTAAAAATATGTGTAGAATTCTGAGATCTATTTCTGTCATCAGCCTGTTGACGAAGCGGGTCGGTGGTCTGCTCAAGGTGTTTTGCAGTCGTTTGTTTTGTAGTCAAACTTTTGTTATTATCAAAGCGATTCATTAGCGTTTCATATAAGGCTGGTGAATTGACTGCTCTATTATGAATAAGAAACTCCGATGGCACATTTTTATTGCCCGCACTTAGCTCCGAATTACTTTCTAGAGCTCTATGTTGGTGTTGTTGTTTGGAGTGCGGCAATTGTTGCTGTTGATTTTGAAGTTGTTGCACTTTAGTCTGATTATGTACACTTTTATTCCGACTATGATTATTTCGTCCACGCGCCATAAATAAATTACCTAACTTAGTCGACCAAGCACTTGTTTTCGCAGCTTTTACTATATAATTTGATTTAGTCACTCGACTGAGTGTTTCATTGTCAATATGTGTTACGTCAGTTGAACGCGTGACCTTAGCAGGCGATGTTCCTTTATTTGTTCCCAAATTTAAGGAATATCTGAAGAATGATGGTCGTTTACCTTTTTGAATTTTCTTTGATTGACGATAATTAACTTCACTATAACCTTGATGTGATGCGTCTGTACCAGAATTTCTGCTCTCAGTAATTGTTTCAGTGTTGTCTGTAGAGTCGTTATTGAATTTTTTCGATAAGGTCGTATTATGCTTAAGTGTGCTATATGGATTGCCAATATTTTTGCCACTCTGCCGATCAGCTCGTTCGTTTCGACTAGTGCTAGCGATTTCATCATTTACGTTGGTGACCGACGTTGATGGCACATCTTTGTTTGTTGTTTGATATGCTCTTTTTAGAAAATCCTCTTTGCACGGTGCCGTGTCACTTTCAAATATGTGCTCTGACAGAGAATTATTCTCAGAATAATGTGAGAATTGTTCTGACATAGACGCTGCAAGATTTGATGCTGTTTGCGCTAAACTAGCTCTGTGCTCAGGGGGTTGAAATCCGAACCGATTGTAATTTTCTGCTAGTGATGCGGCAGCTGATGTACTCGCCTGTTCATCGTTGGTGCTTGGCCTGAGCAATGCTTCAGCTCTTGCTAATGCCGATTTATTTGCGATAAGATCATCAATGGTTTCTTTATCAATACTAACAAATTTATTGTAATTGTCATCAGCATTCTGCAATGTAACTGTGGAAATTCCTGAAGTGTTGCTTGTAGTTGCATTCAAGGCCGGTTGCGGTGCCTCTAAATTTTCACCTGATGTCGTTTGAGTTGTGGGTTTATCAGCGGATTTAGAGTTCTTTTTGCGAGTAAAAAAACGAAACATTTTCTAGCGGTAAGATTTATGGAAAAAAATAATTAAAAATACATTTAATTTAAATATTTATTTGAAAATTTAGAAGAGGGAATTATTAAGAAGAGTCTTAATAGTGCTTAATGGAATGAAAGTACACGAATGAAATATTATATTTTAGCCATTATAAACAGATTTATTATTATATTAAATAACGAAAGCAAAATTTATGAATAATTGAAAAAAATTTGTTTTAAAATATTTATTTCAAAAATAATTTTTTTTCATAAAAATGTGATTATTTAAAAACTTGTCAAAAATTAAATTAAACAAAAATTTTAAGACTTATCATTAGATAGTTATTTTATTATATACCAACCTTTAATTAATTATAAAAGTTAATTAGTTCTCAGCTATTTCTCAATTTGTTGTATAGTTATAATTTTGTTGTCTCTTTGACTTCTCTCTTGAATATATATGTAGACTGTATAAAAATATAATTTATAATTTATAATTATGTTTAATTTTAATAGTCAATATAAATTTATTTGCACTGTTTATTGATTTAAATATTAATTATTGTAATGCACAATACAATTGACAACAATTGACTTAAAATTATATTTAATTTTATGTAATATTTTTTTTTTAATTTTATTTTTTAATTGCAATGACACCTAGATCTGATTTTATATAAACTTCAAAAATATATATATCTTATTAATATATATAACTAATATAAATAAAACATACAGCAAAGCCCTAAATACTGCAATAAAGCAATTACTGATAGCACAAAATCTGGCTTTAAGAATACTAATTAAGATTTCTGGGTATTTTAGAACAACAGACATGCATAGAAATTTAAGAATCGACTCAGTGAAAAAATATATCAAGGAGAGAGCACTAAAATTATTCACAAAAGTTTATACGTTGCCCAACCCCGTCCTAACAAACCTTAAGTCCACCTCAGGACGAACAGGAAGATATGCTGATCTACGGACCGTATAGTTAAAGTTTAGTGTGGGACTGGGATATGCCCCCCAGTCACAAAAGAGTAAAAGTGCGTAATATCACTAACTCAAATAACAACAACAACAACAACAATTTTTTTTAAATTTATATTTTTGAATTTACTTTCTTATTAATATCTTAGTGTTCTATATTTACAATTAATTATAATTATAGTTGCCAAGCTTGCCTACACCAACAATGAAAACTTAATAGTAAAATAATCATAGCCTGATAATGTGAAGTGATCTTTGCTGAAACTATATACGAGTATATTATTTATAAAATCATATTAGGTACACAGGGACGAAGGGTCTTAAAATTTCAAACTTATCTCAATTTGTCTCTTTCATTCACGCTTGGAGAGCCACTACTATAATAATTATAATCAGGAAGTCTTAGATGGTGAGCAAACCAACCTTTTTCTTGTGATTAGTCGACTATAAACTAGACTGAACGATATCCAGACGTGTGTTCTATATCTATTAATTTCTTTAAGATAATGAAACCCCAATACAAACCTTACTTGGAATGTATTTTTAGAATTTAATAGTTATAATCTCTTCATATGAAACACCTCAAATAAATAACTGATATAACTTATATATATCTACTAAGAAATAATTACAATCTGAACAATCGAAAATCTCAGATTTCTTCTTCTATAAGAAGAAAACCTAAAGAAAAACCTTAGTTAGAAAGTTTTCATAAAAGTTAATAGTCACACTTTCCACACAGAAAAGGTTGAACCCTATTGTTGAACATATCAACAAAATATATGTCTATTAAGAAATAATATATACAACGCAAAGTCGATACAAGAAAGATTGGAGTACTGAACTGGAAGAGTGTAGCAGAAGATCGGAACAGATAGAGGCAGATCGTGAGGGAGGCAAAAGTTCACACTGGACTGTAGTGCCAAATAAGAAAAAAAAAGAAGAAACAGGTTTAAAGATCATTAATATTAATTTTAAAAAATACACTCCAAACAATTGGAAAGCTTGGTTAGTCGCATCTATTCCAAAAATTAAAAAATGTAGACTATCAATACGAATGAATGATATGACGGAAGATCGAAGTAATAATCTTTTCCTTACTTTACTGCTATAATAGAAAAATCTGAACAAAACCAAAACAAAGCTCAATGTGTTATAGTAGTGTAATAGTCAGCTTTTTTCAAACAAAAGACCACTCTAGATCTACTTATAAATAATTTTATAATCCAATAGAAACATTAATGCAATAGAAATAATCAGAGAGTCAGATTGGTTACAAACAAATTCAAAACGATATTCTTGAATTATGGTATCTAGGTATCATGGGTATGATATATCAAGCCATACTATGATAAAAAATATTTTTATTACAACTAGAAACGAAGATGTGAAATTACACTAATCCAAAACTAAATAATATATTTCTCAACTTTATTTTTTTCTTCTGTTTTTAACTTCATTTTATTATGTACAATCTATTCTAAGCATGAATAATAAGTACTACTTATGACAATACCTATATTTGACAGGCTTGTACGGGACTACCCAGTGGTAATCACCGCCTTTTTAATTAAGCAGTAGTCAAGTTCAACACTCGTTAAAGATGTATTATCACATCCCATGATATAAAATACACATTTGAGCTATGTTGAGCACTGACTGCGTGCGTTACTTCGTATTTTGCATGAATTAAGTTTATTAGAGTAATTATATTTTGTGTGTTATTTTTGATATGAATTGATCATTTATTATTATTAGATTACTAACATGTCTTTTAAGATATATAAAGAATAATTTTTTTTTGAATATAGAATCTTTTAAAATCATAAAAATATCTAACTGTTCACCTATTAGCGAGGAGTTAATGTCTGATTTAATTATTTTAGTGAATAATGTTGAGCAATTTTAAGTCGTTAAATGTAAAATTTCATGTGTTTTATTTTTAAATGATTAATTATTATTGAAAATTAAAATTACTATTAAAACATCGAGTATTGCAATTCTTTTAGTAAAATAAAAATTTTTCCTCTGAATATAAGAGTAATAATGGAAGCATGTTCAATTTCTTATAACCAAATAAATTTAAACAAATAAATTTATGTAAACAAAATAAAACTTAAATTCCCTATTGACCTTAATACTTTGTTATAAAATTTCGAAAGCTATATAAATATTTACAACAAATAAAATTTATCCGATATTTCAAGTTCAAACTTTTCCATATGCTGTTGCCTTTGCCTTCGGCGAGAAAACTGAGTGCAGTACGAGTACATTTTCGATCGTTTAGTCAGTGAATTATAACTCCGCTGATTTGTTAGCAATTAAAAGGCAAATGCTGATCTAATTCTAAGGCAATATTAAAACCAATAAAAAAATATCTAAAAATACTGAACGCATGCGAGAGCAGCAGAACTTCTCTGCTTCACGGGGTAAGCAAGCGTGAAATAAATTACCTTTAAAAAGAAAACCGGGAAAGTATCTACAAGATGTGCATTGACGTCAACTTAAATAATCTACGTACTGCTAATTTATATTTACCACATTTTGTGTATTTAAAAGTGATTCCCGTTCGTTGGTTTTGCTATTAAAAAGTTTGCAATTTACAAAAATACAAATGCGTTTTTTTAGGAGTGCAAAAAAAAACAAATGAAATAAAACAAAAATAATTGCAAATGCAGTTGCATTTGAAATGCAATGAAACTGCATGGAATCGCTCTCGAAAAGGCAACATGGAAAATTTGTTTGTTAGCTTCGATGAATGGTACTATCACAGTACAAATAAAGTGCTGCATAAAAGGACATTAGCTTGGAAAATATCTAAAAATAAATGTTTTCTAAAAAGACATTTACTTATTTTTAGAAATGTTTATCCATCGTCTACTACTTAAGGTTAATTAAGAGTTCCGAAGCACAGCATAACATTGTATGGTTTTTCTAAAAGAGGTCGGTAAATGACATCGAATGGCTAATTACTCATACTCAAAAACAGATATATATAGAATTAATTAGAGAAGACAAATTCATTCTTAACATAACATAATGTATTCATAATTTTTATAATTTAAACAATAGTTTCATTAGGTAGGTAGGTTATGCTGGAGATCACAAGGGATACGCTTAGGCCCATTGTGTTACCGTATAATTGAAAACTCAAGGGTTGAAATCACTTGGCAAAGCTTATAATGGTACTCAGGGGGAGATCTTGCAGATCGCCAACATAATAGGTATGGTACTGGACCAGGAGGAGTTATTAGGCACCTCTTAATATTATGATGTAGTTGTACAATGTATAATTATATAATATAGGTATAATAGTATAATAATTATATACTTATATATTATAGTATAGTTTGCAGTTAAAAACAAACATTCGAGTGTGTTTTGTCCAGTAAAGGTCGGTTAGAAACACAAAGTTCAGCTGTTGTCGCAGTAATCTACTACACAAGAAGCCAGTGCACTGTTTATTTTCTTCTTGATTCTTCTTCTTCTTGAGTTAGTGCTATTACGCACTTTTACTCTATAATGGCTGGCGGGCTTATCTCTACCCCACACTAGGCTTTAACTAGGCTAAAAAAAAACATATCATTTATTTGTCTTTTAATTGATGACGGACCTTAAATCAGCATATCTTCCTGAGAGTCCAGAAGTGGACTTGAGGATTGTTAGGGCGGGGTTAATTAGCGTATTACATACTTCTATTACAGTAGGTTATTATTTGGATCAAGTGGGCTACTGCACAGACCTGTCACTCAAACCTAAACCTAAACCATACCAACCAAAAATCCATGAAATAAAAATATAATTTATTACATTAATTATATTATAATTAATTTAATTACTTGTGTAATTATAATTACAATTTTAAGATTATATTTTAATTTAAAAATTTTGATTTAAAAATAATAATATTAAATATATAAAAAAAATATTTGATATATAACACGTATCTTGATTTATTGAAAATAAATTTACTTTGACCTGAATACTCAAATATGAGAAGAGTTCTCGACGTCCTTGTCATGAATGACTACAATTTGTTTATAAATATACTTACATATTTATGTAAATTTTTATATGAATTTTAAAAAAAACATCATTTTTATTTTTAATAATCATGAAATTAATTAATTTATGAGAATGAATATTTTTTTTGTAATTTTTTGTAGCTGGAAAATTAATTTGTTTTGTGGGAAATAATTTAGTAAGATCATGAATCAATTGAACCAGCATATGTTTATATATATATATATATATATATAGAGTTCTTTAAATATATTTCATTTTAAATGTGTGTTTTGACGTGGTTAAAGTATTTTTTCTAAAAATTCCATTTAAATTTTTACGAAATATTAAAATTAATATAAAAAATGATGACTTGGGTATATGCAAATGACGACATTTGCATGTTGTCATTTTGTTGTTGAATTTTATTATATATTTTGTTTTCAATATTTTGTTTAAAATTAAATGCGGCACTTGAT